GTAAAGATAGTGATGAATTATTAGTACATGTGCTGAATGAATTATTTAATATATACAAAGTGCCTCATCCAAACTCACGACAGGTATTTATACGTTATGTTTTAAAAAATTTACAATAGTTCCTACTTTATTAATAGCAAGATGTTTCTTTAAAGGCAGTATGTGTATGGCTATTCGCACTTCTAAAATACAACGTTCAACGAGAATGTATTAAGGAAAGATTGTCCACAATTCATCATGCATTTATAGATTTTCTTTCAGATGACAGTGGTAAGAAATATAAATTATTGATTGTATCAATGAATTGTATCATCTTTCAGCGGAAGAAGAGATTTGATCTTTTATCTCGTAACAGATATAGTGCAAGACATTGCTTCGAAAGGTCTTAGTTTAGTACACATTAACAGCAAACAAGAAGAACGCGAGGCTTTAGTGTCCAATATATTAGATCAGTTTACACAGGGTCGTAGAACAGTGCAACAAGTTACTGCCGATACTAAGTTATTTGAAGAAGGTCAACTAGGAAAGAGCCCATCTGGGTAAGATTAAAATATAGAATATTTCGTGTTAGCTTACAATTTAAGATAAAAAAATATTTGAATTAAAAACCGATTATTCACTTTTGCTATATTAATAACGAAAATTAAATTAAATTAAAGAAATAATGTAATTTTTCAGTGGCAACTTGTCTACTTATCGAGAAATCTGTTCTCTCGCGACAGAATTGCAGAAGCCTGAGCTTGTATATTATTTCATGCATCTGGCAAATCATAATGCGATATGGACATCTAAAAAGGGAGCTGCTTTCGGTTTTGCAGCAATTGCCAATATCGCGAGAGACGAACTGAATAAATATTTACCCAATATTATTCCGCGATTATATAGGTATCAGTTCGATCCAACGCCAAAGATCCAGCAGAGTATGGTCAGCATTTGGCGAGCTGTCGTTCCTTCTACCTCGAAAGCCGTTAGTAATATTATATCTTTGATATCTGTTAACAACACCTATACGTAATATTATAAAAATTTGTTTTTTATATATCATTATAGATCGAACAGTATCATAAAGAAATATTGACTGATGTAACTAATAATTTAACGAATAATGAATGGAGGGTACGTATCAGTTGTTGTAATGCTCTCGCAGATCTTTTAAGGAGTAATGTTCAATTCGACTTTGCCGAATGCGGCCCAGAACTCTGGAAGAAACTATTTCGCGTAATGGACGATATTCACGAAGGCACGCGATTAGCCGCGACGAACGCCACTAAAATACTTAGTAAGGTGAGTACAAGATTTTCTACAGATTTTTTTCTATGGAATTTCCAACTTAAGACTAACAATGTGTTCTTTGCTTCCCCTTTCTTACTTTTTCCATTTTTGTAATCATTTTATTGATGATTGTGTGTTTCTTCTCATGTGTTTTTTCTTTTCCAAAATTTGTTAAATTTTATTTTAGGCTATAGAAAATGAACATAGGATAATAAACAAAAGGTGATAAAAAGCAAGAAATATGAAGCAAAGAGCATATTATACATTAGCCTTTATAATAGTTTGGAAATTTAATATTATTAATTCCAGGTTTGCATACGTCATTGTGATTCATCGCATGGTAACGCGGGAAAAGAAGTTATTCAAGCAATATTGCCCGTGTTACTCGATATTGGTATTGCTCATGTCGTGGATGCGGTAAGATCTATATCATTGCAAACGGTATCTCAACTTGTATCTACAGCCGGCATTCTATTAAAACCATCACTCGTCAATTTGATACCGTCGTTATTGGAAACGATTGGTGAGTCGGAGAATCCTAAGCTTTCATATTTGAGTAATGTGTGCGGCGCAACGACGGAGACTCAGGAAGCGATCGATAATCTTAGAGCGAATGTTGCGAGAAGTCATTATGCGTCGGATACGATAACAAAGGTATATTCTCGTAGATGATTTGGAAGCAAACTCGATAAGATATAGTTTTAATATTATTTTTAATATTTTTTTCTATATAGTGTATCCAATATATCGATGTGGATGTATTAAAAGAATTAATGCCAAAAGTAATAGATTTAATCAAGTTCAGCGTAGGATTTGGAACAAAAATTGCTTGTTCACATTTCTTGATTCTTCTTAGCACGCATCTGAAAATAGAGTTGCAGCCATACAGTGGTTAGTAATTATCTCAATTTTAACAGAATATGAATAAAATACGAACTATTCTTATTATACGGAATAAAGATTACATATATATTTAAATTAAATATGTATATATATCTAAAATATTTTTTCAATTTAATAATTGATATTTTTTGATGATATAAAAATTAATTATATTATTCATTATTTCATTTAGCTAAGATACTATCCGCTTTGCTCAATGGTTTGTTGGATCGTAATACTGCTGTGAGAAAAAATAATGCGATTAGCATTGGACACATAGTAGGCTCCGCTAAAGATTCTAGTCTGGATAAATTATTTAATACCTTGAATACGTGGTATTTGGAACGCGAAGGTACATTTAACAGTAGCATTATATGCTCTGCGTTCTATTATTTTATTTTATGAAAAAAATGTAAATTACAGATGATGCAATAAGATTAGCGATTGGGCAAGCTTTGCAATCTATAAATAATTACAATCAGGAGAAATTAAAGAATTATCAAAAAATAGTTATTCCTCTTGCTTTCTTTGCTATGCACGCAGAAAAGGTACCAGGTATGTATATCAGTATTTATAATATGTTATTCTTCACAAGTATGCCTTGCATTTTATTCTTGTATATTTTTACATATACTGTCATTAGGAAACGAAAGCACCGTTGAATTATGGACTGATTTTTGGAACGAAATAACTCCCGGGACCGAGGCAGGAATTATGCAAAACCTGCCAGCAATAACCAATATTTTACATACAACTTTAAAATCAGCATCATGGACTACGAAAGTGCAAGCGGCAAATGCAGTTCATACCATTGCCTTAAAGTCAGGTCATAATATTGATACAGATGACAGGAATACCTTATTAAAGATATTGATCAATGGTTTGCATGGTAGAACGTGGAATGGAAAAGAACGTCTATTGAACGCTCTCGCTATGTTAGCATGCAATAGCAAGTATGTAAGATTTAAAACTTTATACTAAAAAGATTTAATTAATACTCGTTAAGTTTAATAGTTCGGATTTTATTACAGAGAAGCCTTAAACGCAGATACTGCGTTATTAGATACAGTTGTAGTAACATTACATAGGGAAAGTAAGAAAGAGAATGCTGAATATCGTCGACACGCGTTACAAGCGTTTGCTATGGTTTTGCATGAACTCGATATTGATAGGTTTACGGAAACATATGAAATTGTACAAGAAATACTGATTAAGGTAAGATGTGTTGATAGTAATATTACGAAGGAATAGTTGCAAACGTGAATATATTTATATACTTTGCATTTAGGTATCTGATAAAAATAATGACGAGGAGGACACTGCGGAAGAAAATAGGAAGAAAAAAGAAAATAATATAAAGTTGCAAGAAACAATTTACGAGGTACTTGGGAAAGCATGGCCTTCCATCAAAGAGACTCAAGGTTACAGAATTTATATAAATTTTAATGAAAAATATACATTTTTATAACATTCTGAATATTTTTTTTTATAAGTCGATTCGTGATTGCAGATAAATATTGCATAGAATTCGTGACTCACTGTCAGAAAGTACTGCCAAATAGTACAAGGTCTGTTCAAGTTACTATTTTGACAGCATTAAATCTCTTTGTGGATAGACTTGTCTTATTAAAAATAAACAAAACGGAAATGTCATTAAAAGACAAAAAACTATTAGATCACATAGGTGATAGTCTCAATAAAATATTATCATATTGTATAAGTAAGTATATACATTATAAATTATGCGATATAATTAAGTGCATTAATTCTATTTAACATATGTTGTTCTATTAAAATAATTTGCATTTGAGATTATTATAAGATAGTACTATTTTTAAATATCTTGTTTCTTCACAGATATTTCGAAATTCACCAAAATTAGAAAAGAAGCATTAAATATAGTTCTTTCATTAGCAAGAAAAATGCGTGAGACACATAATGATGAACAACTTGATAAAATGACACGGCTTTTGAAAGAACTCTTACCCGATCTAACGAAGGATAACCAACCAGAAATACGAACCAGAGTAACTGATATTAAAGAAATGCTTAAAATTTAACTAGCACGTACATATATTAAGTATGTACATGGTATTCCAGCTCGAATTTATCCTTCGCACACGTTGATGTATATTGCATACTATCGGCGATCTCGAACTATAACAAAAGATTGATAACTATGGTTGCGTGTTTATTTAATATGTTAAATGTAGATGTGCCTAATTATAGTATTATATCCCTAATAAAGTATAATTTAAAACAACTTGTTTGTAAAATTTTTTTATTATGCCCTTATGTATTATATCCTAAAATAAATCTCGAAGAAGTGATAATCTAATCACTTTGTCGGTGCTAAAAAGAATCTTTTATTTGTAATTATACAAAATGCGAAGTCTATAAGTCGTGTTCTATACACTATCAGTACTAAAAATCTACAGAATATATATTTCATAATAAATGATTTTTTTCCCTTAGGATCATCCAGAATCGATAACACGATATAAAAAAACTGGATATATCAGTTTCATCTTATTTCTTTACATCCATGGAAAGAACAATTCTTGAGATATCTAAAAATGTAGTTGTCTCTCTTGTTATACTTATCTATTTTCCTCTTAATTTTTTTAGCATCTTTTCCCTTCATTTCTGTATTACTGTTCTTTTTTCGTTGCTTTATAGTTTACTTTCGCGCAAAAATCTAGGCGTTAATCTTATTTTATTAATTTTTGATCTTTTTTGTTTTATTAATTGATGGTCTATGTACAGGCATTTCATTTGTATATGCTTTCTTTTTTTTTAGTATTGTTACTAATTTTCTTTTTAGGCATTTTACTGTTTCCTTTTGTAATACGAAACTGAATTAATTCTCCACCGTCTTCGAGTCATTCTCTGTTGCTGAGATGTCATCTCTGCAATACATTTCCTGATTCTTTTTGCCTTTTCATTTAAATATTTAAATATTTTCTTTTTTTGTTGTACAACCCATTTTGCAGGATCATTCTTTTTTTCATAACGTAGTCTCCATTAATTCATAATTAAACATATAAATGAACTGATGAAGACTGCGAGCCGAAACGTTTTATGCATTATACCATATTTATTATTTGATTAAATTGTTAAATGCTTTAAATAATTTAATTTAAACATTTTATTTGCTCATCTCTTTTATATTTTGTGTTATATTAAATTATATATTTTAAACAATATTTAGTGATAGTGATTATGAATGTATTTTTTAATGCGTAAAATAAATTGTAAACAAATTGCATATTACATGTAAATTATATGACAAAAAAATAAAAAAAAACAATTATTTAAAGCAGAGGAATATAATTGTAATTGTAATTAGTAGAAATGTTGGACGATCTCTGTATATTGATCCGTTTTTATCGAATTAAACTTTAAAAAAATCTAGAAAGTGTAAATATAATTTGTGTAAATATATTGTGTAAGTGTAAATATATTGAAAGTATATAATTTGTAATCTCAAAACCTGTATTATAATCATTTCCGGTAAAAAAGGAACAATTTACATTAAAAAAGAATTATGAATAATATACATTACTTTCAAATATCATATCTACTCACATTTATTTTCTGTCAATTTTTTTAACAATATCGATGCTCCAACGCTGTGTTTTTTCTTGAGATTTTCTATTAAAGGTTTTAATTTAACTAGTAATATATTTATAGCAATTTCATTCTCTATGAAAAGAATTAATAAGAAACAAGCCCTATTAAATTCTATCCACTTTTCTAGCACTTTTGGCGTTAGGTGTGATATTAATATTTCTCCAAATGTACATTCGTTCTTTTTCAGCAATTCTTTGTCATACTGAATAAGTTTCTTCAACATTGTATGTAATCCAGGATGTTCAACCACATCGTATTCGATATCATTATCCTTGATTTTTGAATCTGTACTGCTAATAAACTTAGCAATCGATTCAAACGCAAAATTCAATTTCTCTCCCGATCCCACTTTCAATATCGCTAAGGTAGTCATAACTATGCTACTGTTGCATAACCATGTTGCTGTATTCGCGATTATAGCGTCAAAAAGCGGACCACAGATTGCTTCGAGGAGTTCCTTTTCCCTAATATCGGCTGACTTCTTACTAGCGGAATTGTTATCACCTTGGCGTAAATATTCTACTACAGCTGGCGAAAAATAAAGAGATTTTCTCCTGGCCACGAGATATAATATGACATGTTTCCCATACTCATTTAGCGCAATGTTAACTAGATCCTCTTGTAATTCGGACAATATTATCTTCTGCATAAGAACGGTGTCGTCTACGGAGTCAAAGAGCGCCAATAATGTCATGTGACCGTGTTTGGACATACAAATCGCTTTTACGTTTCCTTTGAGGGCTTTCATAATAATTTTCCTATCTTTGCTAGTACTATGCCATATACATTGCATAGCAACTCTCACGCCCATTTTCGTTTGGGACAGAGTTATAATGTAAGATCGCAGCATAACTATTAACTCGTTCCTATCTTCCACCGAACATACGCAGAGGAATTCCCATAGAATCGTTTGCAGCAGAGTAGAATTAACAAAACCTTTGTTTAAAATTCTAATTAGATTTGCTTTTATGGCAGATAGTGTAGCCAGTTTCATATCTATCGCAGTTTTGAATACATCCGACAATGATTTAATTTCCTTGTCTTTTTCCAGTTTATACATGTCCCCAAAAAATTCTTGCTTAAAATATATCTTCTCGAGACTTGTACACCAAGTAGAATACGTGAGTTCTACAAAAGAAGCTGATACACTGTGACTCATTAATTTGACAATATTGCCATAAAATCCAGAAATAATCTCACGCCTGATTTCTTGCGAGCCATGCTTTAAAATAGCTTTTACGCAATTTTTTGCGTATTTAGATTGTAACATCTCCACGATGAATGGCTTTATCTCTTGAGATATAGCTTGCAGAACATGTGCTTCGCAATTTTTTATTATACATTGAACTACTCTGGACATATCATGTGTAAATATCACTTTGTTGTAATGATTTTTCAGCATATTGTGCAATGTCTTAGTTAACGTTACACGATCGACAGACTTGCAATCAGACCTACGTAACTTTTCATTGATCTGCTTAGCCCGAATGATTTTGTCAAATACTGCATCATTATTTAATTTTTTAGCTTTCCGTTTCTCTCTAAGTTCCTTTTTCTCCTTCTTTAATTGAAGCCAATCAGTTTTCTTGGTCGTACTTTTCTCTAATTTTTTCAAATTTTCTTTTTTTAAGTTCTTCTGATCTTCAGATTTTTGCTCAACTTGTTTTCTTTCCCTCTTCAATTTGAGCAACTTTATTTTTTCAATTGCATTATTCTTCCCCGCTTTTGTTACTTTTGTATTCTTTCCTTTTGAGTTCTTCTTTGTTAAAGACAGTTTTACATTTTTATCTAAAAAATATTTTTTATTTTTACATGTGACTATTTCTGCACCACAGTTTTCTTTTTCATTACCTGTAAATTTATTATCCAGAGATTTTTCAAATGTCACTTTCTTTCTCTTTTTATTATTTCCTGCATCAACATTATTTTCTGCTTTCAGGTCATCAGTGTCCAAACTCTCTGCTGATCGCTTCATTTTTGACTAAATCTATTAAAAAAAAATATCAATAAGGATTAAAGTAGACGCCAAATCTTCAAATTGCATGTATCATTTTTCACATATTAAAAAAATATAAAAAAATCTTACAAAGTATTATATTTTTATTAGTTGTTTTTTTAGTTGAATTAATAAGAACAGTATACACTTTTGGAATTTAAAGTAAAAGATACATATTTGATATTTATTAAAGCGAGAAAGAAAGTTCTGCAATATCGAATTCAGTCACTTGCATTACACTAGATTGGTGCATATCAAAAATTGCTATATATAAAATTAACAAAATTAAAAGCATAAAAAAATTAAAATCATTAACTATCCCATAATGATATCGCGTTATTTAACAAAGTATATATATATGTATTATTTCATTGTTAACATTGAATATATTATGAATTATGTCATTGCATTTAAATATTTATATAAAGCAGTCTTTAATGTGCACTAATATACTGGATGCACATTAATTCGGTGTAATGACCAAAATCATAAAACAATCTAATATAAGAATAAAAACCAGACTTTTGTCTTTAAAAATATAATAAATATTACCGTAATTTCACTCTAATCTCATATAACCTCAAAGAGAGATTGAGGACGCAAATCCAGTAACCGATGGAAACAACATCAATCTATTTTCAACATGGAATGTTTTCCAGTTTTGAACTTGAAAAAAATCTTCTTTTTATTTATATTCTGTTTTTACTATCTGATAATATTAATTCCAAATACTGCGGATACCCAGTACGAAATCGATTTTACCTATTTCACCACGTGGTTTGCCTTCCGCTGCGCGTGCGCGACTCGCATTTTGATGATTGGTCCGGCGAGTATCGATTGTCATTTTACTCGACAATCGCTATTCGATAAATCGCGAGCATCGCGACCAGTTACAAAATGCCCTATACATATTCAAGTTGCCTCGTGTTTCTTGCGTTGCTTGAAAGCGAATTTCGCGCGTGAAAAAATTACTCTTGTGTCGCACATCGAATTCGCTCGCGGTAGAACTCATCCGCACGCGATTCTACATTAATCTCGCAAGTCTGGCGCTTCATCTTTCGCTCAGAATCGGATCGCAACCCTCTTCGCAGATATCACGTCAATTATCCGTTTGAAGTACACCGAAAGTACAACTTATGCACGATCGTTTGCATCGTTGTCAGGTATGTATATATCTTCGTATTACAATCAATGCTATATTTAATTAATATATATCAAGATTTAAATATCTCAATTCAAATCCAATGATGCTCCATTCTCTTTTATATCTTCGAAACATCAAAGACGCGTGACAGATGTCATGCCACGTAACAGATCGTGAACAGATAATGAAAAAGACGCGGAAATGTAAAGCATTGAAATTTAAATTATTGAATTTTAATTAGAATTTGAATGCTCTTTATAAAATATTAATTTGTCATATTTTCAATATGTCAACGCGACCAGTGAATGACAAGTTAATTTTCTAGAGAGAAATTCAAAATTTAATTATAATCCAATGGCTATATTAATAAGATTGGTTTATACATTTAGATCCAAGAAAGAAAACAAGACAATTATATTAAAGAATTTTACAACAGTTACAAAGTCATGCAAA